AGTCCTGTCTTTTGATGCTGTTCTGAGAAGTGGTTGATCATTAGGGGATATCATTGAATGTTAGAAAAAATTTCTTCTCAGAAAACAGCTGCCCAGGGAAGTGGGGGAGTCACCGTCCCTGGAGGTGTTCAGGAAATGTGGAGATGTGGCACTTGGGGACATGTGTGCATGGTGGGGATGGGTTGGGGTTGGACTTGTTGATCTTAGAGGTCATTTCCAACCTTAATGATTCTGTGATTTTATGATCACTTGTCCACCTCACTTCCCCTAGGACATCTGCTCTTGGCCAACATGAGTCAAAGCCCATTGGGGATGAAGGTTACCCGTGGCACCCTGCTACCAAGGCTGATAAAAACTCCCCCTAACCCTGCTTCTATGCAGTCAAACTCCAGCGTTCTCTGCATTATCCAGCAGCTGGTGGCTGTGAAGGAGCCATTGACACAGTGACAAAAAAATTCCAAACATCTCTGAAATCTAATCTAGCAAGAGCCAACAATCCCTGGACTCTTGTTTGGCGTACCAAGAATTTTTTGGAGCCTTCCACTTCACTCTTAGCGATTGCAACAACAGTTTTGTTGCATGCCTCTACTGCATGTACATAGTTTAAGAGATTCAGTATGAAGAATAAGTGAAGACTGTGTTTTGTTGGAGGTACTGACCAGGTGGGATTTGTGTGTATGCTGTGTGCTTGTGTGCACATGCACGTATATAAATTCATCTTTTAGCTGCGTAGCTCACAGCTAATGCTGATGTCACTGAGCTGATGTTGTTCAATGTAGGATGTATTGGGGCTGGCTGTGGGGATGCTCCACAATCATGGGAGTGCTGGAGGTGTTACCATGAAGGCAGCAGGCAAAGCCTGGCCCTGTTGGTAGTGCTCACTGCACGTTTGCATCCTAAAGCCCATTGTTGTGCCAGAGCCTTTGATTAAAGGTTTATAATGCTATTAATTATTATGGTGATGGACAGACAGAACAGCCTACCACCAGAAGCAGTGAAATCACAATGGGTGTTTCATACTTAGGGTGTATCAGGAAGAGGAGATTTTGGTTCTGCAGTCCTGGTGCCTTCTTCAGGTGCTCATAAGTGCCCAGGATTCATTGGCTTGGCACCAAAGCCCTGGGGCACCTTCCTGCACCCAGGTCCCAGTGCTGGGGCTGCAAGAGCTGGAGGCAAGGGCCGGGAAGGAGCAGCCACATCTCTTGCACACGCACACACACGCAGAGGGGAAAACTTGAAGTCAAACGTCTCAAAGTCAGATCCCTTTTTAGTATGAATTTGCTGTATCTCATTCTGAGCACTAATTCCAATTTAATTGCAAGTGGCCTGAAGCCTCTTCAATAGGAGTAACAAATGGTTTGATTTTGTAAACTTCATCAGACTGCATTTTAAATGCGACACACTAGCCCGGCTCGAATGCCAATGAAGCACTGAAGTAGCTCTCTGTTTACTAATTATCCGTTTTTACTTCAAGCCACGCTGGCTGGCTTGTCTGATTAAATCGGATTTGTGGGATAGAGAACAGCTAGCAGAGTTTTCTCTATAGTAAACGAGATTGAAACTATGGACCGCCTGGCTGCACACTGTAAATTATATTTCCTTTTAAAGGGGACGTGTCTCTTTTATTTCTTCGGCGTCCCTCCTGCATGTTAAACTTTGTGGTACGGAAATGCACCGGGCGCCTTTTAAAAGTGAGAGGAAAAACAAACCTGTGTTCCCTGCCATATGCCTACGTGTCTCTGAGCGAATTTCATTTTAATTCCTGCTAGTGTGGAGTCAGGGTGTGGAAGAAGTGTTGTGTTTAATATTGTGGTGATTTTAGCATTCCTCACCTGAAGTTTGAAAGTTTAGCATTCCTCACCTGAGTGATGGGAAATGCATCTCCCCTGCCTTTAAAGACACAGGGAAAAGCACTTTTTTGGGAGCCTGGAAAGCGAAGCGTGGATATCCACGCGCACAGCTGCGCTCTCAGGGCTTTTCCTCCCTTGAGCAAGCATCAATCCTGCAAAAATCACATCTCCCATCACCTGTTATTTAAACCTGCCTCGCACAGAGCGGGCGGCGCTCTCTTCCAAATAGTTAATGCTGCATCCAGAATCTCATCTACATGGCAGCCTGTCGCTCCTGCCTTGGAAACCCGCAGCACTGCTACACGCGGTATTAATTGTTTACTGCTGCAGGCTGGAGGCAAACAGCACATCGGCTCTTAGAGGAGAAAAAAGAGAAGATGGGAGAAGGTGGCTATTGAATGCGGCGTAATAGGGCTGTGCTTAAACCTCCACTGTTGCTAAGACTTTAATTCCACAAGCTTGACCTATTCTGCCCTCTCTCTTGGTATCTATCTTTGTGCCTAGAGCTTTTTATATTTTAATTTGCTTTTGAATGTCCTACAAAATTAATGGTATACTTTTTGCCATTGTGCAGTGTACAGTACAGGGAAGGCCCCGTGGTGTTCGCTGATAGCCGCGTTTCCCTGGAAATGAATGGTCACCGCACTTTCTGTTCCATATTCGCCCCTTTTAATTGTTGACAGTAAAAAGCGTTTAAATGCTGCTTAATTTGTAATCATCTTCCCGAAAAAAAGGAGAGAAACCATTAAAACGTCAGCGAAATGAATAAATCCGTCTTCCTCTTTTTGTGCCTACGTGGCGGCGGCGGTGTTTATTTATCCAGGGTGATTTTTCTTTCAATGGCCGCGCATTGAAACGTCCCCACGGCTCCAAAGCCAACGGGGTGCCGCCGCGGGGAGGTGGGGCTTTTCCAGCATCACCCCTTTTTCTCCTGCCACCAGGTCCTGCCTTGCCAGCTGTGCTTTTGGAGATGGGTTTGGTTGAGTGGTGGGCTCTGCTTGTGCATCCCGCTTGGAGGTCACCGGAGCAGTGGGACAGTGCCCACTTGCTGTGATGGTGCAGTGCGTGGTGGCTGCGGAGCTGCATTGCTGTATCGCCAGGCTGCAAATCCCACATGTCCCCATCCCAGCACAGTTGGGCACGCAATGGGATGTGGGCTGCAGCTTGTCCCCTGCTGCTCATCTCCATCCCTGTCAGCTTGTCCTCGGCCACCCATCCTCATCCATGTCACCTCATCCTTGGCCACCCATCCCCATCCAACCATCCCCAGCCCTACAGCCACATCGCACTGGACGGCGGGGCTCCCCACACAAGGCAGCTCCTCTCCAGCACGGCAGCCCAACATAGCCCAATTTTTCAAGCGGGGGCCAATTAGTTTCACAAATGAGGGCCCTATGGTGCCAGGGAGGATTTGTTCCGGGCCTGCGCACTGGCCCGGCCGCATTGTCCTGCCCCCACCCCCGCAGGAGCCCATTGTCCCCGGCCCCAGCAGGGCTGCTCCCGGCGGATTGATGGGGGCTGGCGTCCCGCCGGCCGGGGCCCCCGCGGCACAGCTGGCTGCGGCACAGGGGCTCGGCCCCTCCGACCTCTGACCCGTCCTGCTGTCACCGTGAGAGCGCGGCCGGGCTGCATACCGTGCAGGATTTGCTCCGCACCACCCGCTCGGATGGGCTTTGTGTCTCCCGGGCTCTTGGGAGAGTTTTGTCTGCAGCTGCGAGCAAGCGCGCGTCCTCCGGATAAATCCGTGGGGAAGGAGGCAGCAGCATCGCCACCGGGGCCACCTCGCTGCTATGTGGTTTTATTTCCATTTTGCTCATTTATTTTCACATTCTCGGCGTCACTCGCTCGCACGGTGCACACCTCACCAAGGGGATGGCCGGCATCGAGCCAACTGCTGCCACACAAGGAACCTGCCCATGGAGGAGCATGGCCGGTGCACGTGCACTCATGCCCCTTGGGCTGTGCAGGATCTCTGCACTACTTTTGGTGCATTTTGCCACCAGCACGGAGCAGGGACCCATCCCCTGTGCTCAGCAGGGTGATGCTGCAGGCGGGGATCCATCCACAGCACTGCAGGTGCCAGGAGCACACAGTGCCCAGAGCTCCCCCAGCACCCCTGTGTGCAGTTGCTTTGGTCCTCACCACCCCTCAGGTTAATTTTGGCACTGCAAAGAGCAGCCCTCCCTGTCCCCGCTGTTTCTTAAAGGTGTTTGTTGGTTACCTTGAACATCTTGCTGCCGCTAATGAATTGCTAATACAATTTTCTAGATAATTTTATTTCCATAGTCCTCACATTTTAATGTCTCCAAAAAGCTAGCATTTATTTGCTTAATCTCCCAGCGTAATACAATTTGCACTGACTCACAGGTTCTGAACAATCAGCTATGCATAAACTAAAACAAATTGTTTAATAACACAAAGGTCTTATATTTTTATTGACTGTGTGTAAGTATCTCTATTTCTGTGTTGGTGTTTCTTTTTTATGTACTCTTCTGTTGATGCAGCCAATTTTGTCATTGTGCGTGTGGCTCATAGGATTAAGCTTCTGGTGGTATTACCACTGAGGGTCACAAGCAGTGCTGGGGATGTGCACGTGGTCCTCCTGTGTTCAGCCCACTGCTACCCAGAGCAGCTTTGCATGGTGCTCAGGCATCCAACTGTCATTTCTTTGGGTTCTGTTTCCACCTGGCATTAGGGGCTGTGTCTCACACAGGTGCATGCAGCCACCCATCAGAACATGGGGAATTATCCAAGCAGGTGCTTCGCATTTGGGTTGGGGGTGTAGAGATGCAAGCCTACAAGGGATTTCCAGCTGTACCCAAGGCATTAAAATCCTTCTGCTCTCTTCTTGCACTCCTTCTCTATGCTGAAGGGTTGGAATTGCTGCAGTCCCAGTGCCAGCCCTGCTGCTGCCCCCTAGGAGTGAGGGCTGCAGGTCTCTGCCCTGTGCAGGAGTTCTTCCCATCCAGGGATGCTCTGTGCGTGGCTGAGCACACCAGGTGATCGGGGCAGGTGCGGAAAGCAGGCTGCTGTCCGTAACAAGAGAGCTGGAGGCTGTGAGCGGTCAGTGGGGCTCGCAGTCCCCTTCCTCACGACCACCCCTGGGAGACCCCCAGGCACTGCCTCACTTTTCTGTCTCCTCTCTTGCAGGTACAGACATGGCTGTCTTCTGCCTGCTCTGCGGCAAGCGCTTCCAGACGCAGACTGCCCTGCAGCAGCACATGGAGGTGCACGCCGGGGTGCGCAGCTACATCTGCAGCGAGTGCAACCGCACCTTCCCCAGCCACACTGCCCTCAAGAGGCACCTGAGATCCCACACAGGTACAGCCAAGGCCACTGAGAGCAGTCCTGTGCCGTGGGGTGGGGGGTCCTGATGCTGCCCAGGGAGCCCCCATTTGGGTTCTGAGCTCTGTGCAGGAGAGCTTGGGGCTGGCAGCTTGGTGGTAACCAGCAGCTGATGCTGAGCCACAGGTGGAGCTGGAGGAGCATTCTTTGCTGGAGCTCCAGCTCCAAGGAGGGCTGGGACAAAGATGTTCCTTGCTAAACTGCACTTTATCGTCGTCTTAATCTTAAAAATATTGAGGCAACTGTTATCCACAACCGAGGTTGCTTGAGTTTAAAAAGAACAAGAAAACAAGGGGGCTGGGGGGAAGTGCTGTGTGTAATAAGTTGATCCGGTATAATGTGACATGTGACCTTCTTAGGGGATGTGCGATCTTACCCCACTTCATCGGCTTAAATGCAGTAGATGCACATAATCAGCTGGTACTCGGCTCTAATGGGATTACAGTGACCTGGGCTACGTGTATATGGTATTTACATTGCACACCCACCGAGGTGCTTTTGGGTTAGAGGAGAGCTGGGGTATGAAACCAAGGATTTGACCGTGTTACTTGGTGTCCTCAAACCACCTGCCTGATGTTGGCCCTGTCCTCCTGTGCTTTGTTCCTACTGCGAGTCTCCATTATGTGATTGTGGCTGTGGGACTGCAGCGTAGGGAACAGCAGCTGTTACAACATAAGACTGTCTCATCTTGTGCCAGGGGAGGTTCAGGTTGGATGTTAGGAGAAATTCCTTCTCCCAAAGAGTGCTTGGGCACTGGCATAGATGCCTGTTGAGGTGGTGGGGTCACAATCCCTGCAGGTGTGCAAGAAACATGGAGATGTGGCACTGAGGAATATGGTGAGATGGGATGGGGTTGGGGATTTCAGTGATCTTTTCCAACCTTAATGATTCTCTGGTTGATCATATGTAGGAAAGAGGTGTGAGTACATCCCTTCCAAAGCAGAAAGTGAAAGTTCCCTAGCAGATTTAGTACCTCAGTATGGTGCGTTTGGGAAAACCAAGCAACACCATAGGACTTTCTACCTGCATTTTTTTTTGCTATGAAGAAATGGCCCTTCAAGCTCCTGTTGAGGGATGGCCTCCCATGGTCCCCATGTGCTTCTGTCCCCAGGGAGGAGCTGCTGCTTCCCTCGCTCATGGCAATGAGTCTGGATCCGGAGCCTTGCAGCACCCAACACGTGCAGCAGTGTGACGAGGCTGGGGAGCTGACCCTCACCCAGCTCAGTGATTAGCGGGATTGTGTCGCTCTACGCAGCGGAGAGCTGGCCTGTAATTTGCAGCCCAGCTATGAATCAGAGCAACTGAAATTGCTTTTTGCAGCGGTGGGGAGGCGGGGATGGTTTGCAGGTGGGTGGAGGGAATGCTCCTCTCCCATCTTTTCCCACACCATTCGCGGGGCTGGCGCTCCAGCAGCAGTGTGATTGCTGGGGGGAGGCAGATGCAGATTGTTTGCATCTCTTTTCCTTCCTCTTTTTAACCAGCTTCCTGCATACACATGTGCCGGGTGCTTGGGGGCTGGAGCAGCATCTTTAGAAGGTCTGCATCGCCAGTGCCTGTTTGTCCTGCATCCATGCTCCCAACCAGGAAACCCAGAATCGCACAGTGCTTACGATCCCATTAATGCTGAGTGGAGCAGCTATTCATAGCAAGTAATCCAGTGACCTGGGCTGTAGGTCACTCTGCGTGGGTTCTGCCCCCAGCCCCTGATGGTTTATTAGCTCTTGGCTTTAAAAATAAACCAGGATCCTCGGAGCTTTATGAGTAGATAGTTGTGCTTCGTGGTTATTCTCAGAGTGGGAGCACAATGCTGAGTCCGCAGAGAGCTCGTGACGTGGTGCCCAGCTCTGCCTGGCAGCATCCCAGAGCTGGGAGAACACAGCAGGAATTGGAGGGTCTTTTATCACTATGGAGAGGACAAAGGCTGCAGCCCTTGAATGTATCCCAGTTTTGTCAGCCCCCCTTTCTGCTGAGCAGGTCGGGGTAATAGAAAGGAGGGGATGTTGGTGTTGTACTGGAGAGTGAGTTACACTGTGATTCTCTGCTGGTTATTTGTGATCCAAACCCTTGCACTGATTTCCTCAGTGCCAATGGATCCATTGCTCTGCCTCCATGGCACAGAGCACCAGGTAGCAGTGCAGAAGCGGGTCACAGGTGCTGGAGGGGATCTAATTAGTCCCCTTTGTCCTGAATTTAATGTTAGGCTCATTAAAGGTTCTGCAAAGTTAATCAGCGTGCCACAAATTGGATTTTAATTTTTTCCCCCCCGGTTCTGCAATCAGAGCAGTGCTGCTGCAGGGACGTGGGTCCCATTAGTGTCCCCGCATCGGCACTGTGTGTGTGTATGGAGGGTGTGGGTCTGGCCCTCGAGATGCCATATTTAAACTCATTTACCACATGATCAGGTTGATAATTAAATTCATGCGGATCCTGTCAAACCAGCTCCTGAGTTTAACACTTCACTTAAAGTACCAGGGTGCTATAAAGAAGCAGCAGGAGGAAAAAAATCGCTATTCCCATGGGTGGCTGAGGCTAAACAAGAAAATCCTTCACCTGGCTCCCATCTGCAGGTGTTCTCTTAACTATTGAGCAAATGGGAGTGCTGAAATGGGCAGCTGGCTGTTACATGATAGAGTGGTTTGCATTGGAGGGAATCATCCAGTTCCATGGGTCCTTTTGGTTTTAGGAACGAGGAGTTCAATGGAAAATGGAGACAAAGCTGCAGCCTGCACAGTGCAAAGTGGTTAAAGATGTGCTGTTCTGGGGGCTGTGTCATGGGAGGTGTTTGCACCCCGTGGGATCGTTGCTGGTTTGTAGCCGTTGGGAAACAATGCTGTGCACAGAGCAGCAGACCTCTCTGCAGGGCTGGGGAGAGAACAGGCAGAGAGTAAAATATCATTGCAAAGAGGAAGTGAAAGCACAGGCATGTGAGTATATAACTAGAAGGACAATTTATGCCCAGGCACGAGTGCAGTTTGACATGGGGATAATGAAAAAACGTAGGTCATTGTGGATGACTTAAGCCTTCACAGCTGAAGAAAATGTATGAAATGCGAGGAACATTACACGCTTGGCAGCTCTGCACATCTGCAGTAGGACAAGTGAAATACAGTTGGCCATTCTTTACCATAAACTGTGGTTGTAGGATATGCAGCACAGAGAAATTGTAATTACAGTGACAAGACAAATCAGTAATATTTAAATATTCATGAACAAAGTCTTGGACGATCAATCTATCTTTATTGTCCTTGCCTTCACTGCCGTAATAAATAAGTAGCTGGAGCCCTCACCTTTCATTCAAATAATTCTGAGTTTGGTGCTGAGCCCAAGTTCATTTATCAGGGTGCTGAGCAGCGCTGTGGTGCGGGACTGATGCAGGCAGAGGGCTCTGAGCGTGCAGCCCTGAGCTGTGTCCCTGCACCGCTCCCCACGTGCCCACCATGGGGCTGACTGATGCATGCTTGCAGGTGACCACCCTTATGAATGCGAGTTCTGCGGCAGCTGCTTCCGGGACGAGAGCACGCTGAAGGGCCACAAACGCATCCACACTGGGGAGAAGCCCTATGAGTGCAACGGCTGCGGCAAGAAGTTCAGCCTGAAGCACCAGCTGGAGACGCACTACCGCGTGCACACGGGTAGGTGCCGGGCAGCGAGGCGGCTGCAGCGCCAGGGCTGGCTGCTGGGGAGAAGGAATCATTGAATGCATCAGCATGGAGCTATTGTAAATAGCGGATCAATAGTTAGATCACTTTTGCTGTTCATTACTTCATTATTCGCTGTGTCTGTGCACAGGGCGAGTATTGATATTGGGTGCGCTGGGCAGTTAATTACTGTGCTCGAGCGAGGCCCCGCAACCTTGTGTAGTGCTGAAAGCCTGTGCCATGCTGACCCTATCCCACTGCCCTGTTTCGTGCAGGTGAGAAGCCCTTTGAGTGCAAGCTGTGCCACCAGCGCTCCCGGGATTATTCGGCCATGATCAAACACCTTCGGACCCACAATGGCGCTTCCCCATACCAGTGCACCATCTGCCTGGAGTACTGCCCCAGCCTCTCCACCATGCAGAAGCACATGAAGGGCCACAAGCCGGAGGAGATCCCCACCGACTGGAGGATAGAGAAGACTTATCTCTACCTCTGCTACGTCTGAGGGACACGGAGGGGATGCGGGGCTGAGTCGTGGAGGACTGGGCAAAAAAAAAAAGCATCGTCCATGGCCTTTTGTTTCCATTTTTCGTTTGTTGCTGGAAGGATCCCTCACTGGGGTTGAGGATGGGGAGGTGCAGGCACGTGGTGCTCACTGTGCTTGCAGCATGGAGGTCCCATGCTGGGAATGCTGGGGGGCTGTGATCCGCCCTTCCCACCCACGGCCCCTTCCCCCCTTGGCACTCTATGGGGTGCGTGTCCACTCCCTTTGCCACTGCCAACCAGCAGCCATCGCACCCTGCACAGGTGGCACCGGGTCGATTGTGTGCAAACAGCATAGTTCGTGCCTCACCCCGACATCGTGCGTGTGAGCAGCAATTTGGGAATGCTTTAATTTCATTTTCTCCCCCTATCCCCATCAATGACCCCTTTGGAGGAGCTGTCGCAGACCCCTCTGGGCGGGGCAGTTACCCTTGGGCTCAGCCCCGTGTTCAGCGGGAGTTCAGCACCCCGCAGGTGGGACAGCGCCCGGGCCTGCACTCACCCATCGGGCCCTACTGGAGGTGCTGTGGGGTGCTATGGGATGCTATGGGGTGCTGCCGGTGTTCCCACAGCTTTGGCAAAAATCTGGAGCAAAAACCTCTGGTTTGCAGGGGCTGCGTGAGGCCGCAATCCTCCTCCTGACCAAAGACCTTTCTATGCATTTCTTTTTCCTTTTCTTCTAATTCGGGAGGTGAAGACAAAGCCTTCAGCGGGAGGATGAAGCTGGGGGCTGCGTGCTGCTCCCTGTCCCCATTGGAGCTGCAGCTCCTGTCCCACAGTGCCCCCGGCCCTGGGTGAGCTGAGGCGATGCTGGGCCAGGAGATTCTCTTTTCTTCTTTGTGTTTTTGGGTGCTTGGAACGTGCCAATGCTTTTTTTTTTGCCCAGCCCTAAACTCCCAGAGTCTGCGGTGGAGCGGACGGTAACAAATGGCTTTGCTCTGTTTTGGTTTGGGTGTTGTATTTTTGGTTGTTTTTTTTTTTTGTTTTGTTTTGCTTTCGGTTTGTTTTTAAAAGGTTTTGACTCTTTCTGTGTTTAGCACATTTTACTTGAAATTACCTCGTTTTTTTGTGACCTCATGAGCTTTTATTGATTTTTGGGGGGGAGGGAGGGGGGAAGGGTGGGGGGTGGTGGTGTTGAAGTGATGGGGCCGGGTGAGGGCCGCGCTGGGGCCGGTGACGCGGAGATGCCAGGGAGGGGATCGCGTGCTGGGCCCCATTGGCCACCTCTCGTGCATTATCCTTTACCAAAATGGTATTTTTTGGAGCGGCCTGACGGAGCCTGGCTCGCTGGTTTGGAAAGCTACCTCTTGTGTTTGTTTTTGTTGTGTTCTGACTTTTTTTTTTTTTTTTTTTTTGCAGTGACAGAAGCACAGTTTGCAATATTTGTGTTTGCTTTGTGATGCCATTTGGGTTTTCATCTCATGCTTTACTTGCAATGGTGTATTATTTTGTAATTTAGCTGCGTTTGTATTAAATTGGGGAAGGGGGGGAGGGGGGCGGGAAGAGTTAGGGAAAAGGTTTTGTAGATGGGAGTAAAGGGAAGAGAGCAGGGTGTCTGTACTGCTGTCCCCTGTCCCCTTGCTCCCTCACTGTCGGAAATGTGAAGGCCTTAATCTGGGGAATTCGCTGCCATGTGACAGCGTGGTGGGGCAGGGCGCAGCCCGGCGATGTGTCGGTGCTGCAGGGAGGGGAGTGTGAAACTTGAATAGGAAAGCGGAGCAGTTGAGCGCCATCTGTAAATGTGAAAGCCCGGGGTGCACTGCAGGGCTGGCATCGATGCCACGAGCTTTGGGGTTCTGTGCAGCTCCGTCTGAGCACCGAGTGGGGTGGGTTTGCAATTTTTCATCTGCAGAGCGTTGCCCTTTGGCCGTGCACAGGGCTTTCATGGGGGCACAGGGCTGCGATGGGGACCCTGAGCTGTGGTGGTGGTGCTGCTGGGTGGGGGGGGGTCTGTCCATGCAGAGCCCCTGCAGCAATGCCCCGTGTGCACCTGCGAGCGGCGGCACTTTGGCTGCTCCGCACCGAGGAGGTGAAGCGGGGCAGATGCTGATGTAGTACAATCCAGGATGTAACTTTGGAGAATGGCTTGTTTAATCTTTGTGCCTAAAGAGAAACACACACATACACACAACCAACAACAACAAAACAACACACCAGTTCTTTCGTATGAACAGTTGCTGCAATTTCTCACAAGTATATGGTACCTTTTTGCAGTGAATTGGTACTGCTGGTCGTGGGTGTCATGGTACTGCTGAGCGCTCAGCTGAGCTCACGTGGCTTTTGTTGCTTTAACGTTCCCTCCCCTCTCACTGTCCCTTTCCTCCCCTAACACAGACACTGGCATCGTTTGGCTTCAGAGCTCAGCGTAGTACAGAATGGGAACCGGGATTCCCATTGGCTTCCAAACAGCACGAGCAGAGTCACTGCAAGGCTGTGTCTGATGATGGGTTGCCCAGCTGGAGGGTGACGTGGTGGCCAGCTTCCCTCTGCAATGCTCACGGAAAGCACCTGGCATGTGCCATGAGCCGTGCCGTGTGCCGTGCTGAGCCACATGCAGTGCCATGTCAGTGTGTCCCGTGTTGGGCAGTGCAGCACAGCACAGTGCCTCTCCCACACCCAGTCCCAGTGTTTGAGTGCACATCCTAGTATTTGTTTCACATAGTGTTACGTATGCATGAACTTCTAAGGCTGCGAAGCCATGGTAAAGCTCCATGACACCTATCCATATATATATAAGTATATATATGTATATTATAGCACTGAGGACCAACTGCCCTGCTGGACCAAGCAAACTAAGGCTTTCTTTCATCGCTTGTCTTTTATGTCGTGACAGCCCAAGTGCCAGTCTGATTGCTCTGTATTAAAACTAGTGTTTGGAATTAATTGATGTTATAGTTCCGTCTACCTCAGCACCTCCTGGTAGCCTCATTTTAGAAGGTGCCCAATTTTTTGTTTTTGTTTCTTCAGAGTATGGGTTACTTTTTTTTTTTTTTTTTTTGTACAATTCTGTTTCCTCGCTGTTTGTTCCTTTGCAGTACTGCTTGCGAGTCCTATCTGTTCTCTAGCCACAGATGCAGTTAGCTAAAATTTCCTGAAAAATGAATAAAAAAAAAAAAGTCCCAAGTTGTGGTGTCTCCTAGTTGCAGCTCTCCGCATCTGCCTTCATTCTGTGTAGATTCAGATGCATTTCTTTGTAAAACTTCAGTGTTTCTGACAGGAAAAAAAGAAAAAGGAAAAAAAAAAAAGGAAAAAAAAAAAAAAGAATATACTGCTGCAGGTTTTTTTCTCTCCATGTGTCACTAAGTGAAGTTCGTGCCTTCTATAGCAAAGAGAATATTTTTTACATCCTACTAACAGTAGATTTTTTTGTAGTGGACATTTTTTGTATTTTTATTTATAAGTCTCATAAGGAAAATAGCAATGTTCAGTTGTATACCTTGAATCTGCAGTTAGAAGAAACAATAAAGTTAATTCAGTTGTCTCAGCCTGCCGTCTCCTGTCGCTGTTCTGTGCTCGGATGCCGGCCCTGGGAGGAGGAAGAGGAGGATGTGGTGGCAGCAGAGCCCTCCAGTGCTGTGCTGTTGGCACTGGGTGTTCCTATGGTGCGGGTCAAGCATCCTGACCATTGCTGAAGGGTGAGGGTGAGGAGGGCTGGGTGGATGGGGGGACTCATCCCCGTGCACCCCCTGACCTGGGCACTGTCTCAGGGATGGGTGGTGCAGAGAGCAAATCCCACCACTGTGATCCTGGAGAGATGGGAGTCCTGCACAGCAAACAGGACCTGTTGTTTTTCTAAGGATGTGCAGCCTGGAAGATGCTTTTCCAGGGAAAATGGAGGTATGTGATCGTGGCTCTCAAGAATTTCTTTTTCATTAAGAGCCACGAGCTCCTAAAAAGCTCCCTTCTTATTTATGCAGGGCTCCCTCCGTGCTTTGGCATAGGAGAGGGCCCTTACAGTGGCAGAAAATGAAACGTGCCTCCTGTTTTAAAGTCCCTTGGCATCCCTGGAGACCGTTTCATCGTGCGCCGCATGATGCTTGACAGGGTGATTTGCTGCTGTCCTTTATTTTTCCTGTTTGAGGAGAGAAGCAGCAGCACGGACAGCTCTGCCATTCGGGTTCTGAAGCCAGAAGGGCCATTCCCACCCTGCGTGGGTGCCATTCCCACCCAAGGTTGGCTCTTCCTTGCTGGGATGGTGCACGCACTGGTGCATTCACGTTACTTGGGAAGGGGGCAGGCTGGTTGCAGGCTGCCTGGGTGTGATGTAGGATCAAACAGCAAGAAGAGGATTCGCAGCAGGAAGCCCACACAGGCTCCCTGCTGCTGCGGGGTGCATAGGGTGCAACCCTTGGCCCTACTTGCTGCTGCCAGTGCAGGCACTGCTGCTGCACGCACAGCTCGCTGGGGAGCAGAGCGAGTTTGCCTCAATGAAAGTGAACTCGTTCATTTAAACCTGACTGCAGAGTAGTCTGGCCCCCTGCTGTGTTAATTATCCTGTAGTTCTAAACTGATTGCTGTACACTAAGCTTAAGCCCTCCTTTATTTATTTACTGACTACATTAACAGCAAAGTCTGCACTCCTTTTATGTCGCTGTATGGCATGCGGCACTCAGCCCGGTGCGCTGCGAGCTGCTCCCTCCCACCCTTGGTGCCCCCCAGGGGGGCCAGGATGCAGTTACATGCCCATCCTCTCGCAGTCCCAGTGCAGTCACTCCACGTAACATCCTTTATTTTTCAGGTGATGGATGCAATGCACTGCTGTGAGCGTGGGCTCGTCCTGTGCCCACAGTGAGCAGTGTGCCCACCCCAAGGCTCCCACAGGACTCCAGCTGTGCCCCATCCTCTGCTCTGTGGGTCCTGCTGCAGGCCACAGCCAGCATCAGTGGCTTCTGAAGTGCTGGTGGCAACCTATGAGCCTCCAAGTGGCAACTGCCTCTGGGTGCTGCCTCTTGGCACAGCCCTTCCTAGGGATGCATTGGGCACCCCTGGTGGAGGTGTCCTGCTTGCAGCAACCTGCTGTCTGCACCATCCCTCGTGGAGGAAGGGATAAGATCCCACTGCAGCGTTTGGCCTCATACAAAGGAGTTATTATAACAGGGAAATTGTCATAGGACTGGGCCTTTGTCTGCACATTCACACAGCAGCTGGGAGTGATTATGCTGCAACAATGTTCTGTTCCATCAACA